TCTTCCGCGAATCAGTCTTCTAATGAATAATCTAATTTGGGAGTTGCAGTGAAAACCTGCATACATAACGACCTTTTCTGGATAAGACTGCCTACCCCTGCTCTATGCAAATGTGTGTGGTAACACCTTCTATAAATGCCATGTCTATGATAATGAATAAACATATTAATAAAACATTATAATGCATTTATAAGGCATTATAAACATGGCTATAAATATTATAAAAATGCATAACATCATAGCCATGTTTATTATGCATCATGAATTAGGGTTGGATGATTAATCAAAAATTAATGTGTTCATTCAGGACCTCTAATCTTGCCCTTGACGGTTACCCCATTTTTTTTTTTATTCTGTTAATACTTAAAAAAAATATTAACACTTTCCCCAGTGTGTGTTCATGTACTGTCCCCTTAAAAACATACTACCGCGTGTGCTGTCACGTGACTCTGCTCTGTCCAGTCTGCAACATGGAAGCAACATAAGGAGGAGAACTCAAATACTGAACCAACAGAGTAACTCCAGTAGGTTGTACAGTAAAGAAAAATGCTGTGTCCATGATTTGGACACATTGTAGCTTTAGTGAAGACAACATTGAACAAAAAGAGATCAAATGTAAACAGTGCGAGAAAAAATTGTTTTAGCTACCAAAAGTAATACCACCAATCAGTTTCAGCACTAGCAATATTCAAAATACAGTGGAAACCACTTATATTGATCATGGTTATAGTTGATCAACCGCTTATATGGATCAAAAAGCTTGTGACAGAATCATTCCTGTACAAATACTGTCTAAATAATTTGCTTATAGTAATCAAGTAATCCGCTTACAGTGTTCATTTTTGGTATTTTTAAACATGATAACATATGGAAAAATATAAAACTTTGCTAATTCTTTTTTTAACTTCCCTACTTTGCCTTGCGGTAACCACAGAAAACATGATGGGGAAAAGAAAGTCATTTTCTCTCACTTACAAATATAGATTAAAATAAAATAAAAGTTTATGATAAACTGCCAAAAACGAGACAACGGGATGGAGTAGTGAAACAAGAATAAGCTATATTTTATGTACAGTACTGTACTGTATTATAGTGTATTTGAATTATACATAGTTCAGTAGGTAATTTAGTTTGTGCAGTACTATAATTTGAAAAGCGTTTGAAACAGCTGTACTGTATTTTGAAAGAGTCTATAAAATTCAGTAAATAGCAACGCTGTCCGTTTTATTACCTTATATGCATGTAATAAATGTCAATTGCATGGTAATCTGCCTGTGGCCTAAAGAAAAAGACAAATTCTGTCATAATATTTAGTGATCAGTTTCACCTAGACAGACGTAATCACTATGAATGGTTTCCACTGTATTTTATTTGCAAGAAATGTAAACTATTTATTTTATACTTCTTAGGGAACTTGCTTTTGCATTAAAACTAAAATAACTTTTTTCATAAGACATTTTTATTTCACGCGATTTTCTTCTTTGATTTCAGTTGTTCCAAATATTCAATACATAAACATAAATGGTTCATCTCTGTGTTTCCTGCAATTATTTTGCTATTTTATACCTCATAAAGCAGTACAATGCATCCTTAATTCTGATACTGACCATTATAATGCATTATGCCGGTATCTATAGTACATTATAGATGAGAGCTTTGTTGGAGCTTATGAAATATTATAATCAACACTATAACGCCTTATGACTGTCAATAGTGGAAGCTCCATTGCATAATTGTTATACTGACCATTATAATACATCAAGTATGTATTATACTGAAGATGGAAGATGGTGGCACAGGCGGTAGTGCTATCGTTCGGCAACTGGAAGGTTGCAGGTTTGAGCCCTGGTTCTTCCTGACCCCAGTAAAGTGTCCTTGAGCAAGACACTGAACCCCAAATTGCTCCCGGTGTGCAGGTTGGCGCCTTGCATGGCAGCCTCCGCCACTGGTGTATGACTGTGTGTGTGGATGGGTGAATGTGAGGCATAAATTGTAAAGCGCTTTGCGTACTTGTAGGAGTAGAAAAGCGCTATATAAATGCAGTCCATTTACATCATGAGGATATCTATAATGCATTATAGATGACAGCTTCAAGTAAAGAGTTATCAGGTATATTTCTCTGAATACACTGTACAGTAGTACCCAGGGGTACTCAGCTTTCTTTAATGAAGTGGGAGAGGTGCTGGAAAGGGTGGCCCCTGTAGACTCTAATCTTACCAAAAACACCCGGTTAGTGAGGTAAGAGCAAAATGGCCAGAATCAAAGGTATGGGCTGATATTTGTGCCACTAGAAACTGAATAAGAATATTGTATATTTGAATCTGCAGTTGTCACATTACAAAACTGAATCTGAATTTATTAGTTTGAATCTGAATTCCAATAACTTGAAACTGCATTTCTCCTACCTGGAAAATTTTCAGTTCTAAAATTAAATTTCAATCTATTGAGACACACATCCGGGTACTTGAGGAAAAGTAATTGACCGCAGGTTTACAACGCAACTCATTTTATATACAGGTATATGACAATAAGTTTTATTTACACAAGCGATATCCTAAACATTAACTGTAGGTCTGGTTAGTATGGTAGTATATGTGGTTAAATGAACAATTTCTGGCACTGCTAGTATATTTTAATATGGTAGACTAAAGCAAAACACGCTATAGGGATGTGAGGGACCGAGTGTAAAAGCAGGAGGAGTCACAGGAATAATTGGAAAAAATAGGGTTTTTTATTCCAACCCAAACTTAATTTAACAAATATTAAATGCTGAGCTCATAAAAGAGGTCAAAGTAACAAAACTGAACTCAGGCAAAAATGTGAACAAACTGACTGGCTGCACAAACAAACATAACTGACCCCCCTGGAAATGACACACAAGGGTATATATATAATGGCTGATCAGACCAATAGAAACAATAGAGGTAACTAAACACAATACAACACTAACTATAAACATGCGTGAAGTTGGCCCCCCATTTGTGTCTGATTTCCACCAAACCGATCGCAATCGTATGTACTGCGTTTGTGCCCTTAAAACTGTCCTTTGTGCTGCTTTAGTTTCTGAGATATTGGCCCAATCCCAAACCGGTCCCTACACACTCCGCCTCACCACTCCGCCTCCGTTTGCGCGTTCCCGAGACCCGTCGCCATGTTGAAGTGTGTCTCAAAGCAGCAAGGGCTAAGGGGGAGTGGTCGATTATGCCCTCCTTTAGCGAGTCAGCAACGATGGTGGCTCGCGCGATTCCACTACCACTTCCATATCCCACAATTCCTAGCGCACAGGAAATAGAACAGCGCGATAATTTAATAATTGGATTCCCCTTCATGGCCTGCTCTTAAAAACGAGCTATCCCTGTTGTGTACATCTCTGAACTTAATAAATAAGCCCCAAGCAATTAAATTGCATAAATTTTTAGAGGAGCTTGATTTTTCTTAGCCACCTTATTTATTTAAGTTATATATCTTGTTTATAAAACTTCACCTCTAAAGCTTTCATGATCCCCCCTTGTCTCCCTTTTTTTCCTGCTTTTGTTTTTTGTCCTCTATTTTTTATTTTTTTTCTCTTTAATATATATGTTTAGTTAAAATTATTGTTGGTTTGATTGTTAAATACCAACTTCACCGTTGCAATGATGTATTTTCTTTAAATTAAGGTAAAAGATAAAGGAGGTGTGACATAATGTGATGTAAGACACTGTTTCGCTTGTCTGTCTGAGATTGTCATTGTTCTAAATAAAGTTCATTAAAAAAAAAAAGAAAAAAAAAATTTATAATTGGATTCTAACAGCACTGTGAAATACACATAGAAAGTCTATGTTGCATGTTATAATTCATCGCTGCAGAAAAAA